TCGGGATTCATTATTGGAGCATTCTGATTTCAAGAGAATATATCCAATGAGGGAAGAAAGAGTTTATGATATTGGACAAAAACATTGTTTAAGTTTTGATTTTGTAAAAGGAAGGCATCCTAAAAATTTATTATCTAATGGGTATTTTTATTTGATTTTCGCTAGTTTTGAAGAAGCAGCAGTTTATTGGCTAGAAACTTTAGGAAGACAATTGAATGGTACAGATGTGACTTTTTCATTTGCAGATTTAAACCAAGAATTTGAATTTTTCCAAACCCCATTGTTGAAAAATCTTGAGATATCTCAATTTTTGAATTTAAAAGAATTGGATAGTGTTGATAAAAATAAAAATGAATTTGCTAGTTTTATTAAATTCCACAAAAATAAAAAAGAACAATTATTGAAACAACAAAAAAAGCATGATTCATTACAGGAAAATACAGAATTAGAATCAGGTCAAGGAATTGGAAAAATTTCATCAAATTTAAATAGTATGCCTTTAGCTGATCATATCCCATTGCATGAGCAAGATAAAGTTAATTTTGAAATCAAAAGATCAAATTGTGTCTTGTTACTGAACCTCCCAAAACATGTAACAAGCGAAGAATTACATGATTTTTTTTGGAACTATGATTTATACCCAATTGAAGAAGAAGCTATACAATTATTGTTAAAAAACGATTTGATGAATTTCAACTATTGGCTAGTTGTCTTCACAAACATAGATGACGCTGAACGGTGTGTAAGAAACCTCAACGGCAGACACTGGTACAATAATGAAAACATGCCCTTGACCCATGTCGAAACTTTTTAAATTTAAAAAAAATCTTTGGCAACACAACAAAATTTAAGAATTTATCACATGTGTGATATTCAACTACTGCTTTAGGAAACTTGGGGTTTCCAATACACTACCATATATCTGTATATATATATATAAATATAAGCTATTTAAACATTTAATACTGAAATTTAGATAAGAATACTTTCTATGCAAAAACAAATTGAACAAAACAGATAATCAAACTTAGTAGTAAAACGGTATTACTGAAGCGCTGTTGCTGAAATAGTTTTATTTGTATCTAATCGAACTCAAAACTGAACTATTTTGTCTTGTAATTTAATATTTCTAATTTTTTTAGCCTTTTTCAAAAATTGGATTTCTTTTTTTTTTTTTAAACTTTTTCTTTTGGCGAGAGATTTACAAAACTGGAAAACCGTAAAAACGTAAAAAATATCGAAATCAACAGAAATAAATTAAATAATATATATTTTATATATATTGATTTATTTAAATATATATTTATTATCAGAATACAAAATAGAATAGAATCAAAAGAAAGAAAAAAAAATAATATAGTATATCCATTCACTTGTTAATAGTTTAAATTTCTTTCCCTTGTATTTTTTTTTTCCCCTCGAGATTTAACCCTGTATATATATATATCTCTTATTTTTTAAAATTAAAATTTTATTTTTGTTGTTTTTTTTTGTTTTTTTTTTTCCTTTAATAAGGTCTTCAATAACTTTGACTAGAGAAAATAACTGTTTAGTATTATTTAAAGTTTCATGGATTTTGAAAATTTGTCAGGTTAGTATTTTGGGAACTGGTTTTGAAAAAAACGCTTTTAAAAGCTTATAAATTTTTAGTTAATACTGACAAGATTTTTTGAGATTAGTTACAGAAGAAGGAGGAAGTAAGTTTCACCCATCAGCAGTTGGTACAACTTCTGTTTGGAATAACGCAAAGCATACGATGCCTTTGACTTCTTTACATAATAAAACAGACCAGCAGCTGTCTTCTTCTAAATTAGAATTTGATAAAATCGACCCTGAAGTTGCTAGTATTATGTCGTCATTAAGCGCCACTGCTGCCACTCCTAGTCCCAACCAGTTAAAACAGTCCTCTTTGGCAGGAGGAAATAGTAACAGTGGGGTTTTAAGAAGAGATTCATTTTATGCTAATAGCGATGCCGATACTGAAAGTTCCAATCCTTTTAGCAGTTTAAATAAGGAAGCGTTATCAGCTATTAGTGCTCCGTTGGGTACATATAACAATAACTTGACAGCGACAGCAAGCGCTAGGTTTCAACCTTCAAATATGTTTGGTTCTGCATCTATTGCAGGTCATGTCATCACCAAGAGTCCAGTTTATCTATCTCATAATAGTGGCGCTGCCGCCGCCGCTGCTGCCGGTAGTGGTGGTGGTGGTGGTAACGGCCATACGGGTTCCGCATCTGCTCACAAAGATAATTCTCCAACTAATTTCTTGGATAAATTTGGCTCTGTTGCACAGAGAACAAGAGATTTAGAATCAGATTTACAACAACTCTCGTTGACAAAGACTACTTCTGAAAATCAACAGTACCAACAAAGTGCAAGAAGTTCAAGAAGACCTAGTGGTATTAATGGGGATTTGCCTCCGCTGGAGTTTGTTAATGCTTTAGGCTCAACTTCTCCTAATTCCATTCATGAGTCAATCACAAATGTTAACTCAAGGCATCAATCAGTCAGTGATAGGATCGATAGTTATCAACAGCAGCAACAGCATAGAATGTCATTTTCATCGGAACATAATAGTGCTGTTCTTGCTTCTGAAAATGGTGATCAGCCAACAGCGGCGGCTTCGATGAAACACAATATTTGGAATCCAGCATCTGCCTCGACTTTCCAACCTTCAGGTCAAGGTTTTCTGCAACAACCTCCACAGTTTCAATTTTTACCTCAACAATACCAAGGAATTTATAATGCTCAGCTATGTCAATTTGGCTTTCAATATCCACCTTCACCAGGTATGTTTCCACCTTTTGGTATGCCATCTCAAGATTTGAATCAACAAGAAGTATTACCTGAAAGAAGAAATGATGTTAATCAATCACTTGTAAATGAAGCTAGAAAAGATAAATCTGCTACTGCTCTCGAAAATTCTAATGAGGTCAAATCTAATGGAAATAAGGCAAATGGTTCTAATGGTGTGAATAACTCAAATGGTACCAATTTTTCAAATGGGTTTCAAGGCTTGAATTCTAACTCTTCTCACGTTCCTGGTATTGGGTTGATTGATAGATCATTGTCACCATATTTAGTGCCACCTTTTAATCCATATGGAATCCTTCCATCTATGGCTTTTGCGGCTTCACCAACTTTGCGGTCACCGCAAGGAACACCACAAGTACTGTTAGCTGGTGATGAAACTATCTCGTTGAATAATCATCATCAACAACAACAACCACAACAACAACCCTCAATTAATATATCAGGTCTTCCAAATGAATCTTCACCAATGTTCCCACTGGGATCCAATATAGTACAAGGAAAAGGTACTCCTTCTCCTCCTCAATTCCCACAGAATGGTTTAAATAACAACCATAATAATGGAAAAATTACAGCAAGAGGTTACAATAATAAGGCAACCTCTCCATCACATAACAATGGTAATGGAATCAGACCGCCTCGTTCCAAAAATGGGCCTTTGCCTGCTTATATTCAAAGATCTCCGCTTTTAGAAGAATTTAGAAATAGTGATCCAAAAAATTACAAATTATCCGATATTTATGGACATGGAATTGAATTCAGTAAAGATCAACACGGATCTCGTTTTATTCAAGCTCAGCTTGAAAGTGGCTCAACTTTAGAAGAAAAAGAAGTTATTTTCAATGAAATAAGAGAGATTGCTTTCGAGTTAATGACTGATGTCTTCGGTAATTATGTTATTCAAAAATATTTTGAATTTGGTAGTGAAGTTCAAAAGAAAATTTTATTGGAAGCTATGGAGGGTCACCTTCTTGACTTATCATTACAGATGTACGGATGTCGTGTTGTTCAACGTGCTATAGAGTTTATCAACATTGACGAGCAATGTGAACTCATAAAAGAGTTGTCGAATCCTGCTGATGTTATTCGTTGTTGTAAAGATTCAAATGGTAATCATGTTATCCAGATTGCTATTGAAAAAACACCAATTGAACATATATCATTTATATTTGAAGCGATGAAACCTCACTTGTATCATTTATCTACAAATGCTTACGGTTGTAGAGTTGTTCAGAAGATGTTAGAATTTGGTCGTCCAGAAGATTCAGACTTTATTTTGTATTCATTGAAGAATTATTCGAAAGTTTTAATTTTACATCAATTTGGTAATTATGTTTCTCAATTTATCTTAGAACATGGTAAACCAGAAGATAAAGATAGTATCACAAAATTGATCATTGATGATTTGTTACAGTTTTCTAAACATAAGTTTGCTTCAAATGTTGTTGAAAAGTCGATTGTCTTTGGATCTCCTGATAACAGAAAACTCATTTTAGCAAAAGTTTTAGAGAACAACAATGATATCAATAATGAAGACGTTGATGATAATTCTTCTTTAGCCTTAATGGTTAAAGATCCTTTTGCCAACTATGTCATTCAAAAATTAATTGGAGTCAATGAAGGTACAGACAAGCAGATCTTGGTTACCAAAATTAGACAGTACCTAAGAAAGTTAAATACAACTAATAGTTATAATGGTAAGCATTTAGCTTCAATTGAAAAATTGATTGCATTATGTGAAGGCTATTAATTTTTTCATTTTATCCTGTGTTAGATATCATCTTGGTGAGAATATTTTTTTTTTTTTTTTACTTGTTTTTTTATCGTTTTTTTTTATATTGCTGAACCCCATATCTTATCTTATATATAGTATTTTCAAGAATCGTCTGTTTTATAATGATGTATATAGCTTTTTGAATCTGCTTTTGTTTTGTGTTCTTTTTCCCCCCTGTTTCGTCCCTTGAATGATTGATTATTTATTCACGAAGTGGCCGATTAGTGTTCATATAATTTGATTTAATATACATATATATATATATAAAAGCTAATACAGATTGAATTGTTTTAGAATTAGATAACTCATGATAAGATAATAATTGTGTTTTTTATCAGATTTTATCAGATTTTTCCCGTATTTGACAGTAATCTTCATTTATCGCATTTTTGCCAATATAAGATTGTATAAAGCTCTATTGGCCAAATGGTAAGGCATCGCACTCCTAATGCGGAGACTGTGAGTTCGAATCTCATGTAGAGCGAAAAATAAAAATTACCAAGTATATGCATAAACTTGCTTGGTAATGCTTTTTTTTTTTTTGCCATATTTTCATGGTGGATATTGGATCAATGTCAATCAAATTTCATGATTTTCAAAGCCTATTATACTATGGGACCCATCTAGTTGCTTTTATCTAAATTAACTTTAAAGATTGTTGCTTCTGTTGTAATTTTTCTTTTTTCTTTTTCTTTTTTATAGGAAATCTATACTAGTCATAAAAAATTCATGGCTTAAGGTTTAGTTTTTGTACATGTTACGAGCTAAGTTCAAACTTATTCTCTGTTCTTCAAATTTCACAATAATTCACTATCATGCATTTAGATGGAATCATCTCAAGGATTGGAATCATAAAATATTTTAAAATGGTATTGATTCAGTCAATCGTAAGCCTAAAATTTGAGAAATCAACCTAGATTTTTAACTGCATAACTACGCAGGCACTAATTATAAATATGATGGTGCGGGATGTAGCTTTTCCCATGTGATAAACTGTATAATTAATTGTTCAAAGAAAAGTTTTTGCACAAGTAGGAAACCAATGTAGCATTAAATAAAAAGATTGGATGTCGGGGTTCTTTATTGTTCAAATAAAACTACAAAAAAGCCAAAAAAAAACTTTTGAACAAGATCATTTACACAATGTAAAAATTGAAAATACTAACTCTAACAGTGAGTAGTTTTTAATTAAATGGAATACATTAGTCCTATATATCTATCAATACAATTTAAATTTAACAATTTATTTTTTGAAACTCAATTCATTAGCCAACTGATCCAAATCATCATCCAAAATTTTTTTCGTAAACAACTTTTCAATAAAATCTAAAATTTTTTCATTTTGCTCTTTAAAGAAAATATCATTCTCAATAATCAAAGTATGTAACGACTTCCCTTTGTTCAAGGAAGCAGCGTATCTTTCTGGAATATTCACAGGTATTCCGTTGAAATAAACCAATTTATTATTTTTCAAAGGTCTTTGCAGTTGTTCCATTTGCAGGGATTTTAAATCATGAGACATTTGACAATTTTGATTACGACAATTTCCTCTAGCAAAATATTTGCAAATTCTTTTCCTCTTTTTAATATCATTACGCTCATCATCTTCATTGTTATTATCTCCTGGTCTTTTACCCTTTAATTCTATAGATTTACTAGAAGTGCTAGTGCTAATACTCTGTGTTTCAATTTTTTGTTTTTTCAACTCTTCTTTTTCAAGAATTCTTTTTTTCGATGGCCAGTTTTTCTTTCTTTCTTCAATCCATTTCTGAATGTCTTCTGGAGTAGTCAATACTATTGAAGTACCTGGAATTGGTATTGGTGCTTTTGAAGTGCGTGTAGAAGTAGAATTATGTTCTTCCAGTAAATGATTTTTAGATTTAACCCCAGTTTCTCCTTTCAGCTGCGGCCATAGTTGTTTTGTATCACTATTTCTAGAAACTATTGGCTTGGCCGGTAGTGAAGATGGCATATTAGAATGAGAATGAGATGAAATTGGCTCATTAGTCCCATCAAAGTCACTCTTACTAGCATTCTTATCGTCATTGTTATCCTCCACAACGTTTGAGGTATCCTCTTTTATGGTATTGGGCAAATGTGTCGGGAGCACAAATTGTGAAAATATCTGATCAAAATTTATGCTATTTTTCTTCGTCATTATATGTTGCTCATCTACAACTAATTAACTGATTATATTAATATAGAATATATATTATAAATTTATGTGGTTTTTTACAAATTAAAAGTTTTTTTCTAATTTTTTTCTAATTTTTTTTTTTTTTTTTTTGATTTCTTCTCGTTCTAAATTTCAAACGACATAATTTTAACGATTACAATAACGACAACGACTACGACAACGATTACGACAATTGTCAGTTTCAAAAACGACCTTGAGCTTCATATCAAAGTTAAATCTCTATATAGACTATCCATTCATTTTAACAATTTCACTATATAGTTTCTTTCTATTGATCAAGCCAATAGCTTCAGTCTCGCCACTGATTTGGTTAACTTCATCTTGGAAAGATGTTAGTTCAACGTTATAAAAGGCAAAGATTGGATCTAACCTATCGCATTCTTTCAAACAATTGTCCAATGATTGCTCTAAAATGCTGTTGTTGTTACTTATTGATATTAATTCTTCGCATTTCTCGTTGTTGATTTTGTTCAATTCTTTCAAAAGTTTTTGTTCTATTGTTGTTACATCATCAGAGTCTTTCCAATTGATTTCTTGGAAAAGCTGATCAATAAATCTATCAGCAAGAGATTCACCAAGTTCCTGGTTTGGATTTTGCAGTTGTTTCTTTGAAACTTGCAGTTTCTGATTAAAATTTTTATCTTTAGCGTAATTACTCTTTTTAAGTTCTTTTTGTGGAATTTGTTCTTCACGTGATTTTGCTTGAGACTGATTCCATCTATCTCTAGTAGGTTGATTAGTCAGAGGAAATTGATTTTGATTGGATCTGTTTACCAGCACCTGTACTTTAAAACCAGTAGACTCAGGAAGCTCATTGAAATCCAATTCATCTAAATTATGGGCTAATTTTTCTTCAATGCTAGAAGGAAAAGTATCAGTTGTAAGCTCTTGTTTGCGCTCTTTCTGTTGGTAAGCGTTATGTGACAGATTAGCAGCACCGGAATTAGTGTAATTTGTAACTGGAGCAAGAACTTCTTCAACATCTGGGGTTTGCTCTGTGTAGTCATCGTAAAGGTCATCTAAAGCTGTAACATCTTCTTCTTGGTCTTCAGCTCTTTGTCTATCATGATTACGAAAGCTGCCGTTAAAATCATTATCTCCTCTAACAGTTTCTTCTTCAACTTCTTGATAACTTTTTCTACTGAAACTTAAAAAGTTGACATCTTCTACAGGGCTTTTGCTAGAAACTAGTCTTTCAACAGAAGTATTTGATATTGCTGCCCCATTATTCAAAGAAACATTAGACTGTGGTACTTTCAGAACTCTGTCATTTGATAATTGCTTCTTAGTTTTACTGCTTTGATATGGCATAGTCTGCTCTTGGTTAGCAGAGTTATAGCCATAAGGTTGTTGTTCAACTGATTGGGTAGTACTTCCTGGAAATGGAATTGGCTTAACAGCAGGTATTTTCTCCGAAGAGGAAAAAGAATTATTGGTTTGCGGATACATTGGTGTTGGAGGCATTTGTTGTCGCAATGGCAGCTGTCTACTTTCAACACTTTTATAAGAATCGTTCAGCGATTGAGGTATTCTTTGAGAAGCAGTATCTTGAGATTTTGTCCTTGTTTTTGGAATACTTAATTCAGAATTCGTTGAAGTCGCTGTCCTTGAAGAAAGGGGTATTGACGAAGATGTCTCTGTAGCAATTACAGTGGGTGTAGGTGTAGCACTAGTGTTAGTATGAACTTTATTTACACTAGAACCTGGGACTGACCGTTTACTAGAAGTTTCCGCGATTGCCGAAGATATACCCAAGACTCTTGGATCCCAATTGACTAGCTCTGGACATTTACCATGTGTATATTTCATATAAGTATCCACTATTGATCTATTGAAAACCACTACTTCCTTCGGATCATTTGTTTCCCAATAATACTGCTTCCCGAGATGCATCATGAACCCAGTCGGCACCTGTTCATCTTTCTCCATCTTTGTAAGTTCATCCAAGTCCCAAGTTCTACCAATTTGTACCGCTCCATCTTTTCCCTCTCTACCTTTATGCAATCTAACTCTTCCAGATTTCTTCACTGCTATCATCAAGATTCTTTGCTTTTTGTTGGACGGCGAAGATGACACTGGCGGCCTTGAAGATGGATAATGCGCATCTTCAATTATCCTAACATGTGTAATGTAGCTTTCATGTAAAGCGCCATCATGATCAACCTTACTAAAACACGATTTGATTATATTCTTCCTATCAACGTCATATTGTTTAGCTAATTCCATCGACGACATTCTCCTATGAGCACCAGGGCTATTACTATTATTATTATTATTACTATTATTCAAAGAAGAAGAAGACGGAAGAGGTGGAACAAAACCAGACTTGCCTCCATAAGCTTGATTACCATTGCCATTCCCACCATTCGTTCTCCTAGTTTCGGAAGAATTACTAGTTGTTGATTTTGACTTGTTGTGAGGAGCAACTTTCTCCCCAGCCATTGAATTCGCATTATTACTACTCGATGAAGGAGATCTCGAGTGACCAAACTTCTTAATTACTTTTGTTGGTGATGTGACCATTTTTCACTTCAACCCACCATAAATCAATAAAATTAACTTCTATTTAGTTAATATATACAATTAATTGTTTTGATTGTTTTAACACTTGTTGATATCAAACTAATAAAAACCAAAATTTCGCACACGACCAAATTTACAGTAACAATTGCAACCAACTACGACGATGACGACGATGACGAAGATGATTACGACGATGACGACGATAATGAAGGCGGTGAGGACAACAAAAGGAGCAAGAATTGGGGACTACAATAACGATAAAGATAGATATGTATAGCAAGTCTATTTACAGGCAGTCTTCAAGAAGAAACAATAAGATTACAAGTCATTGTATCGAACCTCTCTTCCATCAATCTCATTTCAATTTCAGCCAACTCGATGTACAACTTTGGATGTTTGGACTTTAGATTCTCCAAGGTTTCAGCATTTAATGTCCACACTGTGCTATCCACTTTTGTTTTATATTCACAGACCAAGTCACTTGAATAAATCAGTTTTCTCAAATTTCCAAAAGCTGTAAGTGGTAATATGCTTGCATGTAAAGTTCCAACTTTACTACTGTTATTTAGTTCGTACTTGTAGTCCATATTGATTAATCCGTTTTCAACAAGAAACATACTAGGACTATCATCACTGGAATGGAAACTTATATTTGCAGGTATCACTTCTTTTTTGAAAAAAGGTGCTAGGCGAAGCCAAAATTTGACATCTCTTTTATCTGATAAACTTTGAAATATTGTTAATATAAGAGGTAACGGTTGCTT